CAGGAAAACATGGAACTGTGGCCCTGGGAAGGGGGATGCTTCACGGTGGAGTGCAGGGCTCCAGCCTCAAGCCTTTACCCTCTAAAACTCCGCACAGATCCCAGCACAGACTCCCAATTCCATGAGTTCTGCTGCCTGCGGGCCCGTACCAGGCTGTGCCCGGCTCAGCCTCTAATCCAGAGCATCCCCAGGGAAGGAGGCCGGGAGCAGGGGATGCAGCGACGCTTTGAGGTGGGTGATGTTTGGTGGCACAAAGGGCCTCATGGCAAGCGATGCTGCTTGGAGCAGACCCCAGTGCCGGCACAGACCCACCGAGGAGCAAGGCAGAGCACCCATCACACGAAGAAACCCCCCCCTGGGCCCACCCCGCAGTGCTCTCCCATCACAGCTTTGCAGCGATTTGATGTATAATTCAGAGCATCACTCGCGTGAATGAGGTCAGACCATTCAGCGCGGCCACCGCGTCGTTATTCACGCGTTTCCAGCAACAGGAGTAGGCACGCTGCCAGAAAACAAGTCCCAGTTTAAAATTCCCCAAGGGAACAACGCAGCATCCCGCTTGGAAAGCATGGAATTGTGCTGGGAATTGTGCTGGGAATCTCTGGACACCCCCCACACACACACCAGTCACCACCGACCAGGCCAGGTCCATGCAATGGTTTTTAAGCGCAAGCACCCGACGGGCAGCGATGGGAGCGGGACGGATGGAGCCGTGCCCGCTGTGTGTGTCCCCCCCCTTCCCCGTCGTCACCCCCGTACCTGCTCCGTGCGCCTCCTCCAGGCGCTCCGAGTCCTGGGCGCTGAACGGGACCCAGCGCTCCCTCCCGTCCGTGACCTTGCAATAGAACCAGTGCGGAGCCACCGCTTCGTAGCCGCCCGCCGCCTCCGGCTCCGCGCTGCCCGGCGGGGGCTGCGCCTCTTGCGGCTCCCGGGCGGCCATGGCGCGGGGATGGGCACCGGGCTCCGCTCGCAGCCCGCACCCGGCACCGCAGCCCGGGCGCTGCTCGCTCCCTGCCCCTGCCCTGCGCACACGCGGGGCCGGGCGGCGCTGCCCGCACCGCGGCTGCCGGTACCGAGGCGGCAGCGGCGGCTCCGCACGGCCCCGCCGCCAGCGCAGGCCCCGCTCTGGGCACCGAAACCGCCCAAGCCGGGGCGGTGCTGCCGGCGCTGCCCGCCCCGCACGGTGCCGTCATCAGGGGGGCGGGCGGGGCAAGCGGAGGGACCCTGCCTGCAACGCTGCCCGCAACACCTGCCCGTAACCCTGCCCGTAACCCTGCCTGCAGCCCCTGCCTGCAACCCTGCCCGCAACCCTGCCTGCAACCCTGCCTGCTGCCTGTAGCCCCTGCCTGCAACGCTGCCCGCAACCCTGCCCGTAACCCTGCCTGCTGCCTGTAGCCCCTGCCCGTAACCCTTCCTGCAGCCCCTTCCTGCAGCCCCTTCCTGCAACCCTGCCTGCAGCCCCTGCCCACAACCCTGCCTGCTGCCTGTAGCCCCTGCCCGCACCCCTGCCTGCAACCCTTCCTGCAACCCTGCCCGCAGCCCCTGCCCGCAGCCCTGCCCGCAGCCCTGCCCGCAGCCCTGCCTGCAACCCTTCCTGCAGCCCTTGCCTGCAAGCCTGCCTGCAGACCCTGCCTGCAGACCCTGCCTGCAACCCTGCCTGCAATCCCTGCCTGCAGACCCTGCCCGCAATTCCCACCCAGAACCCCTGCCTGCTCCCTGCAGCCCCTGCCCGCAACCCTGACTGCATCCCTTGCCTGCTGCCTGCAGCCCCTGCCTGCTCTTCCCACCCAGAACTCCTGCCTACAACCCCTGCCCCCTGCCTGCAATTCCCACCTATGACCCTGTCTGCAACCCCTGCCCAGTGCCCACAACCCTGCCTGCAGCCCTGGCAGCAGCCTGAGCAGGTCCATGCCCAAACGCGGTGCCAGGCAGGCAATGCTGGCGCTAATCAGGACTCCCTGAGCCTTGACTTGGTGCTGATGGTTCCACCGCCGAGCCACTGCCTCCTGTGCATGCTCGGGGCAAGCACTGGGGCACGGGGTGCCCTGCGGCTGCAACCACGAGACTCTGAGCTCATGTTTGCTTCCCGAGCCTTCCGTGCCCTTTAGGCCTTTGTGGGGATTGAGAAACCCTCTCCAGTGACGTGCGTTGCTCCTAGGAGCAAGAGGCAGAAGAAGAGCTTGGTTCCTGCAGAGAGGAGCTGATGATGGGGGGGATGCTGCAAGGCAAACCAGGAATTGCCATCCCGGCGCTCACCTCTGCCACAGCCACCCCTGAAGTGCCCAAGGTCTGCAGCTGATCCCTGCTCTTTGGCTCAGCTCTGCCCAAGGACCAGACCCAGGCCTGTCTCCTTGCAGAGCAACGCTGGTTGTAGGGATGGTAACTGCTCTTTCAGGTTACAGAGATGGTAACTGCTATCTCAGGTTCTAGAGATGGTAACTGCTATCTCAGGTTACAGACATGGTAACTGCCATTTCAGGTTATTGGTAACTGCTCTTTCAGGTTACAGAGATGGTAACTGCTATCTCAGGTTCTAGAGATGGTAACTGCTATCTCAGGTTACAGAGATGGTAACTGCCATTTCAGGTTATTGGTAACTGCTCTTTCAGGTTACAGAGATGGTAACTGCTATCTCAGGTTCTAGAGATGGTAACTGCTATCTCAGGTTCTAGAAATGGTAACTGCTATTTCAGGTTCTAGAGATGGTAACTGCCATTTCAGGTTATTGGTAACTGCTCTTTCAGGTTATAGACATGGTAACTGCCATTTCAGGTTATTGGTAACTGCTCTTTCAGGTTATAGACATGGTAACTGCCATTTCAGGTTACTGGTAACTGCTATTTCAGGTTCTAGAGATGGTAACTGCCATTTCAGGTTATTGGTAACTGCTATCTCAGCTTATAGAGATGGTAACTGCCATTTCAGGTTATTGGTAACTGCTATTTCAAGTTACAGAGATGGTAACTGCTCTTTCAGGTTATTGGTAACTGCTATCTCAGGTTATAGAAATGGTAACTCCCATTTCAGGTTATTGGTAACTGCTATTTCAGGTTATTGGTAACTGCTATTTCAGGTTCTAGAGATGCTAACTGCCATTTCAGGTTATTGGTAACTGCTATTTCAGGTTCTAGAGATGCTAACTGCCATTTCAGCCCACTCTTCAATGTGCTTTTAACTGGAGGTTTACATAACCCTCTGCCCACACACAGGAACTTCAGCTCCGGAAGAGGAAATCTCTACAGGAATCTGTTACCTCCATAGGTTCAGCACTAGAAGAGCAGGGAAGGAACCCTCCTCCTCCTCCTCCTCCTCCTCCTCCTCCTCCCGGGCTCTGCCTTGCTGGAATGCCACACATGGACTTCCAGCTCTCCTGGTGATAAAGGCATCATGGCTCTTACCACGTCTCCACAGCAGGAAACCTTTGTCCCAGACCACAGAGCACTGGTGATGCAGCAGCTGAGCACGGGGTTTGGAATCTCTCCTAACTGACTGCATTGCAGGGCCCACACTCCTTATGCAGCTGAACCTCCCTACTCCTTTCCCTGGCAGCTGATAGGGGAAGGAAACGAGTCCCGGAGCAAAGAGGATGCAATAAGCAATGCAGGTTTGCTCCTGATGGGATTCTTGCTCCTGAAACACACATAGAAAGGGAAGGTGCAGCCAGCTCCTTGCATTCCAGGCTGCCCCAAGCTGGCTGCAGGCAGTGATTTGCTGCTAATGCCACATCCTCTAGGAAGCTGCAGGACTGTCCCGGAGGAGTCACTCTGCACTGATGGATTTTGCTTTCCCTGTTGAAACAGGACTTGCACCACCTCTTGCCACAGCACATTCCAGGCTTTTTTTTTTGGCTGATCCTGCCCAAAGGGAACCCAAAGCCTCGATTTCAACAGCTCCACCAACCAAATATAGCACCGCATGTGGTAAGAGGAGGGGAAAGAGCTCCCCAGAGCACAGATGCTCCATCGCTACCACACAAACCAAACCCAAAGCACAGATTCATTCCTGGCTGCTGCCTTTATCGGGGAAAGAATGGCATTCCCTGGGGCTGGACCACTGCCTTCCATGAGCTCTGCGAACCAGGGCAGTGATTTGCACCTCCAGTACAGCCACTCCGACGTCCTGTTCTCGGCCTGCCAAGAGGATGGAATCAAATCGCATCCCGGGACACTCGTCTCCCCCTTGGCTCACCTCATCCCTGCAGGCTGACAGCCACATGTGCTCCCAGACACATCCAACGAGCTGCAAAGGTCAGTCCCGTGCACGCAGCCCCGGCTGGGACTGACGTGGGATCCACCAGGGTGCCCTTGAGGACACGGGCTGGCCATCAGAGCCAAAGGGTGATGGCTCCTGGAGCACCAGTGGACCCCAAAGCAGGCACTCTGAGAGGGAACGCGGCCACAGAGCCAGCCTGGCTGGTGCTGGGTCTGAGTTGCACAACCTCCCCATAGGGTCCTATTAAAGAGCAGAGACCTTGAGACACCCTAATTACAAAACAACATTGAAAAGGTGTCAGGGTTTATTATCTCGTCACACACAGCAATGATTCACTTCACGTGTGCTGTATAACCAGAAGGTTAACAGGAGGATGGGCTGCCTCCCTGCAGGAGGATGTTTACCATTCAAAAGTGGCTTTTCCCCCAGGCGACCTGGAAAACGCTTCCCAGCATCCCATTGTTTGAGGATGCCCTTCTCCAACGCCTTTCTTCTGCTCACACCTCTCCTTTCCAACAGCAGAACAATGCAGGGGGGGCACCATGCACTGGCTCACCAGGGCACAGGAGGCACGACACGACATCAGCTCGCAGCCAAGAGCTGCCAACCTGGTCCCTTTCTGCAGCACTTCAGTGCCAAAGGATACCCCACAACGACACGGGAGGGGAGGAAGCTGAAGATGCAGCCAGGGAAGGGCGAGCCTGGGGTCACGGCTGCACGTTGCAGTGTGGTACCCCACATCTCACAAGCGTTTTGGCTCTCTAGGGCTGCGGCTACAGATGGGGCCTGCCTGGGGAACCTCTGTACAGTGATGGAGATGGAGAGGATGCAGAGCCCTCTGGGTCTCCCCACGGAGACCTTTCCATCGTGGGTATCTCGACGGTTCAACAATTCAATCTATGGCTTCAAACCTCTTTTAGTTCATCTATTGCCAAGTTATCAGCTGGGGCTGAGCTCCCGGGGTTGGGTTTCGGTGGCTTTGTGAGGGCTTATTGCTATTCCATTGCCAGCAGTGCGTAGCAGAGATTTAGCAGAGCTGGGACTCTATGGAGCCTCCTCACCGGGCCGCCTGCTGCAGCTTGAGGATGTGCTTTCACAATCCCTTTCTTTCCAGTTTTTCCAGTATGGCCTGGATTCTGTGGACGGATTCCTTCCTGGCCTGCCGAACACTGTCCTGGCCGCCCGTCTCCACGGAATCCAGCTCCAGCAGCAGCTTGGTCAGCATCTCCTCCAGCAGCCGGTAGGATTTATCCGTCTTTTTCCCTACAAACTCATCCACCTCCTCCTCCAGCTGCTCCGCCTCCCCCATAACGTGCAGGATCCTCTGGATTCCCGGCCGGATGCCTGCGGAATGCGCTGTGGGTCGGTGCTCCCCAGGTTGAAGCTCCCTATTCCCGGCCCAAGGCTTCCGAGGCGTGCTGTCATAGAGCTGGGGCTGGGCGCTGTACTGCACCTTGGGGTGCTGGGGGGCTGCTGCGTGGTCATTCACTGTCCCATAGGGCTGGTGGTTGCCGTCGGGGTAGTAGCTGTGATGGTTCGTGCCGTGCTCGGGTTTCTCATAAGCAACGTCCTAAGGCAGGAGGAGAAAAAGCCTCTTAAGTGGTTTTGCCTAAAAACCAGGGGTTTCTCTCTTATCTGACACTTGCTTTGAGCTGTGCTCAGTGGGGGGGACACAGGGCAGTGATACAGGCAGCATCTTCTGGACTCCAAGTCCTGCCAAGAGGTCCCAAAGAGGCACAGGACCCACACGTCACTAAAGAGAGAGGCCAATGAGGGTCCTGTTTGGGCATCCCAAAGACACTTCTCTGCAGGTGGCTGTTCCCAAGGGATAGCAGCGCCCATCCCTAAATCCCTGCTGCATTGATCCTCCTGATCAAACCCTGACATGAACAGACCACTCCAAATGCATCATTTCCTTCTGGTTTGGGCTTAAAACATCCCTCAGTAAGTAAGGGATGGCTGTGCCCAAAACAAGCACTTGAAGAGGAATTCCAAAGGCTGCAGACTGGCCCTTGGGGAGTCCCATGCTCTTCACTGCTTGAGAGAGGTTGTTGGACAAGGGCTGACCCATTTCCCTGCCCTGGGATGCCCAATATCTCCAGTGCCTTTCTATAGCTCCAGCCCTGCCTTTTGGTCTCGTGTATGCAAAGAGGTGGTTTCGCTGCAGCACCTGGATCCCTGCTGCTTTCTTTCTACCTAAACTAAATGTGCTCAGGGAAAGGGGCATTCCCAGGAGACAGAGGCAGGGTTTGGGGAGGTCTGCCCCCAACCAGGACCCAGCATCACCTTGCACTGCATCACTGCATCATCAGCATCAACGCTACCTTTGAGTCCCATGCAGTGGGGTGGGAAGTTGCTCCGCTGCTGGTCCAGGATGGGTGCGAATCGGCCACGAAGGGGTTCCCGTGCACTGAAGTGGATGCCCATGGGTACCGTGGCTGCACCCCATAGACAGGGTGAGGAGCCCATGTGTCCTCCAGGGCTCTGGGCTGCGGTGGGGAGGTGACCCCTGAGCTGCTGTCTCCATAGGGATACTGCGGGATGGGCATTCCCGGTGTCTGCAAGAGGAAGAGAAGAACAGGAGTTACCCATGGAGTCACTGCTCCCTCCAGGCAGCCCCACCAACAGCCTCGCTGCTGGCTCCTGCTTTCCTTGCCCTCAACCTTGGAGTCTCTGTAGAGATATCGGAAGTTTCCTTATCTCCAACCCAAATCTCCCCTATTTCAGTCTGGACCCATCACCCCTTGTCCCATCCCTACAGCCCCTGATGAAGAGCCCGTCCCCAGCATCCTTGTAGCCCCCTTCAGACCCTGCAATTGGGCTCTTACCTGCGGTGGGGAGTAGCTGGGACCCTGCTGCTGCCTCCGGAGCGAGGAGCCCTCGTTGGGACCCTCCGGTGCCGCGTAGCTCCAGGGGGGAGCCGGTGATGGGCACCGGTACCTGCCGGTGGGCTCGGAGGGATAAGGGGGCCCGGAGCAGTGGTACCCCCGTGGCAGCCCCGTGTAGTGTGGGGCAGCACCAGGAGGGTAGGAGGGGCTGTAGGCTCCATTGGCATAGGGAGAATCCATGGCCTGGGAAGGAGGGAAGAGCAGAGGAGAGGTCATGGGCTGTGGCTATGAGGCCAAGGGACCCTTCCTGCAGCCTTTATATCATCCCCAGGATGGGTTTCATGCTCTGACGTTGGCCACCGTCAATGAACGCGTTTGATTCACGCTGTGGTCACAGCACAGGGGACATTGCAGCAGGTTGGTGTGGCCGAGGGGGGGGCTCAATGGCTCAGCAATACCTCTCCCATTGCCCCCTCCCCGGGGCAAACAGCTCCGAGGAGCCTCAACCACGTCACTGGTGCATGAAAACCGCTCCAGGAACGCTCGTTTCCCCTTTCAGTCTGCGAAGAGAAATGAGGCAAGAGGACGGGATCCACCAGTTCTGGGCCCCGAGGGCGCTCCGATCCCCAGAGCTGCGGGAGCACGAGGACACGGGATCATGGAATGGGATTGGATTGGAAGGGACCTCAAAGCTCACCCATAAAGCAAGGACACCTTGCACTAGGGCAGGGTGCTCCAAGCCCCTGTGTGCACCCTGGCCTTGAGCACTGCCAGGGATGGGGCGGCCACAGCTTCTCCATTCAACCCATCCCAGCATCCCAAAGAGCTCATCCCCATCTCCCCCCGTGGCAGGTTAAAGCCATTCCCTTTGTCCTGTCCCTGCAGGCCCTTGTCAACGGGTGGAGCTCGCGGAGCCTCCCCATAGCTTTGGGCACAGCAGTTTTTCCCCATGAGCCGTTTGATGGAGGAGAGATCGGGATCAAACCTGCGCATCCCATGGGATTAGGACAAACCCCGGCTGTGCCCGCACAGCAGGAGCACGACGAGCGAAGCCTTTCTCTTCACGCAGCGTTTGTGCAACAGCCCCTAAAAACCGCTATTGCTGCAATAAACCCAAATGGGCCCCAAAGAGCAAAGTGGCAGGAGCGGAAAGCAACGGGCACCGGGATGCTTCTTCCCTGCGGGAAGCGCGGCTCCGGTTGGATGCGCGGCTCTGCCCCGCTCATCCCGGCTCCAACCAGCCGGGGCCGGCAGCATCTCCGCGGTGATCCCAGCGTTGGAGCCCGGCTCCCAGCCGTGTCACCTTGGACGGCGCCCGGGGACAAAGCTCCTCCGCGCCCGTTTAAACGCGTTTAAACGCGGTTCCCAGCTCGGGGATGCTCTCAACGCGAATGGATCCGTTCGGAAACCAGGGGATGCGCGGCGGCCCCCGCCCGGCCGAGGCCCCGCGGCTCTGCCCCAGGGCACGGAGACCGCGGCTGCCCCACCGAGAGGGGCGGGATCGCGGCTCCCTCTTCCCCCCCTCCCCTCGCCGCCGGTCCGGTCCGGTCGGGTCCGGTCCCCGTTACCTGCGCCGCTGCCGGCGGGCGGGAGGACCCGGGGGCCCACAGCGGGCCCGGCTCTGCCGCGCGATCGCAGCGCTCCATGGCGGCCGCGCCACCGCCCCGCCAATCAGCGGCCCGGCCCCCACCTCGGCTGACCAATCAGCGGGCGCCTTGCGCGCACGACTGGCGCGTCTTAAAGGGGCAGCGCCACACCGAGCTCCTCCCGGTTACGAGGTGGTTCCGGGGCGGCACCGGCGGCACCGGCGCATGGCGGCGCTTCCGCCGCGGGCAGCACCATGAACTACATGCCCGGCACGGCCAGCCTCATCCAGGACATCGACAGTGAGTGCCCCGGCCGGGCTCCATCCAGCGGGTCCCCGGTCCCTATGGATGCTGCATCCCATGGGGCTGCTTGGACCCCCTGCCCCGTGGGCAGCGCTCCGGTGCGGGGTTCCTCGCTGGTTGAGCATCACTGGGTCCCCCCCGCGCTGTGGGTTGGGGTCCGGGGTGTCCATCCCGGTCTGAACCCCACTTTTCTCCTCGTGTCCCGCAGAGAAGCACCTGGTCCTGCTGCGGGACGGGCGGACGCTCATCGGGTACCTGCGCAGCATCGACCAGTTCGGTACGGGGGCACCTTGGGGGGGGGGGGGGGGTTGGATGTGCCCCGGTGCCAGGCGTGTGTTGGGACGGGCAGCGAGGAGGAGGATGAGGAGGAAGAGGAGAGCCCCATAGGTACCCGTTTGTAGGAGCTCGGTGATGCTCCCGGGCTCACCGGAGGAGCTCCCTTCCCAAGCAATAAAGAGGGAGCTTGGATTTAGTGGGAGCTCCCCATTTTGGGGTCCTTGCTTAACGCAGTAGCTGTATTAACCCCACTGCGTGCTGGTCCTGAGCAGGAATATGCATTTCTTCGGTTAAAAACATGAGGTTTAAATCAATTTCGTGGTAAGTGGAGTGATGTGATTGCAGGGTTACAGCGTGTTTGTGCTGTGCGTTAAAGCACCCATCTGTGTTTAATCCCCCTCCTCCCAATTGCATCCAGCACTGATGCTCCAGCATCCCTTTTTAGGCACAAAGGGATGGAGACACCCATGGGCTTGGAACCTGATGGCGCTGCCATGGGTGCTGTGGCCTGCTCTGCCTGCCCAGGCTGTGGGTGCTGCATCCATCCATGGGAGATGGTTGGTGCCATCAGTGATGGGAGCGCTGCTGCTGCTGCTGCCCCGGGACCGGGGGGGGGAGATGCTCTTTAATAGCTACAAAACACGGTGTAATCTGAGTTCTTCTCTCTCTGCAGCAAACCTGGTGCTGCACCAGACTGTGGAGCGCATCCACGTGGGCAAGAAGTATGGGGACATCCCTCGAGGCATCTTTGTAGTGAGAGGAGAGAACGTTGTTCTGCTGGGGGAAATAGTAAGTGAGGGGCCCTGACACGAGTGTGGTGCCCATCAGTTACAGGTGGTCCCATTGTGAGGGCTGATGGTTGAGCCCCCATGGATTTGCTGCCCAAGAGCCCTCTCCCATGGACACTGTGCTGGGGGGTCCCTGGTTGTGTCCCCCCCACATCGCCTTCACCGTGTGCCCTGCGCATGCAAACCTATGGGCAGGGTGGACCCAAGCCCTTGCTGCCTGTGTGCCAGCTCCTGCTCACCTCAGCATCCATCCTGCCCCGTTAACATCGGGGAGAGCAATGGAATGGGCTGCCCGTGGCACCGCTCGGCCCCGGCAGCATCATCCCGGCTCCGAGAGCCTGGAGCATCCCATGGGCTGAATGGGCTCTTTGTGTGGCAGGACCTGGAGAAGGAGAGCGATACCCCCCTGCAGCAGGTCTCCATCGAGGAGATCCTGGAGGAGCAGCGCGTGGAGCAGCAGGCGAAGCAGGAGTCAGAGAAGCTGAAGGTGCAGGCGTTGAAGGAGCGGGGGCTCTGCGTGCCACGGGCAGACACCCTGGATGAGTACTGAGCCCCAAACCCACTGTTCCCATGTTGGGTTTTCCATGGCACAGAGGAGGAAATGATGCCTTTGGCTCCTCTCCTTGCATGGAAGGAGGAGGAGGAGGAGGAGGAGGAGGGGAGGCAGGCGCCTGCCCCGTGCACTGGGGAACACAAGGGAGTGTGTTCAGGAGGAAACCCCCTTGGTCCTTTTGGGTTGGTTTTGCTTTCGTTCCTCTTCCCGTGCCTCGGGGGGAGTTTTCCCTTGGCCTGTAAATAAACCCTCGGTCTCCATAGCAACGGCTCTGCCTCTGGTCCCCTCCATCCGCATCCCAGTGCAGGACCCTCTGGAACAGGGAGAGGGATGCTGGTAGCCCCCAGCTCAGCTGAGTGCGCTGATGGCCTAATTAGTGCTAATGAAGAGCTGCTGCAGCATCTCCTCCCCTCAGTGCAGCAGGGAGGGGGGGTCCTTTGGGTTGTGCTTGTCCCCATCCCGTTGGGAGCCAGCTGGGATGGGATTGGATTTGGGCAGGAAACAGCAAACCTGGGTGCTGAGTGGGGGCTTTCCTCTTCCCAAGCACCTCGGTTTGGGCAGGATGAGCCCAGCTGATGCTGAGTGCACAGGGGTGAAGCCCCCATAGGCAGGGCTGGGGTCCCCTCTGCCCCACAGCTCCCTTCTTCTGGTGGTGGGGGGGAAGCAGCCTCCCCATGGGCTTTGTCCGGGTGGGATAGGGTGAGTTTGGTGGGAGGACAGGAAAAACAAGGGAATTCCCTTTGTGCTTTAACAACAATGGAATAAAAGGGGGGTTGGAGCTGGTGGGGAACCCAAATCCCCTGGGAGGATGGGGCTGGGGGGGGGGTCCTGTACCCGGGATGAGGGTGGGATGGGGCTCCCACCCATTAGGATTGTGGGAGGAGGATGAGGATGATGGGAATGAAGGCTGCAGCGCTGCCCCTTACATCAGCCTGTGATGCCCTGGGGGTGGTCCCACTCCCATCCTGATCCATCCCAATCCCATTCTCACGCTGCATCCTGGATTCCCTCCCCATAGGCATCGTGGTGGTGCTGGTGCCCTCCCCAGGAGGGAGAGGTTTGACACTAGCACCAATGCCTCCATCCCATGGGATGCACAACCCATGTGGGCTGGAGCCTTGTGCGAGCAGGAGCTGGATAAAGGGGTTTTGGCCTTGGGATGAGGTTGATGTCAGTGTGTGATGCTGCAAGAAGTGCTGGGATCTGGGAAGCAGAGCAGGATGAGGGCTGGGTCTGAGCTACCTTCACCAAGGGCTGCCTTGGGGCACACCAGGATCATGTATGTCCCTTTATCCCCCTTCCCTTTGAGGTCCCCATCACAGGGCTCAGCCAGGGAGATGCGTTGGGATGCAGGGGATGAGCATCATTGGTATCATCGCAACAGACAGGTTAAAATCCAAGGGGATCATTGGGTGCTGGTGCCTACAGAGTCCATTGGAGAGGCAGGGAGGGAATTGTGTAGGGAATGTGCCCCTGAGCCTGCCCTCTGTGAGGTCAAGGATGCCCCTGGATGATGGATGCAGGGTCCTTGCCTTCACCCTTGGTATGGCAGCGGCGGGTGGTGGTACCCAGCTGAGGATGCTGTTAACTGGGGCAGATGGGACAGGAAAGGTGTTTGGTTCCTTATCCCATCCTTATCCCTAAACACAATGAGAACGTTCACAGACCTGCACGTAGGGAACTGTGGTGCTTCTCCATCGGTTAAAGGACATTTCAGACACTTCCAAACCAACCTGGAAGTGTTGGAGTTGCTCTTTCCTCTGAGGAACCCAGTGCAGAGCCTGTTGGAGGCTGCAGGGACCTGGTTTAGCTGCGTTTCTTCATCTCTGCCCCCAGCACCTCTGGTTCCCATTCACCCCCATTCTGTGCCTGTGTGAGCATCATCAGTGCTGGGACATGGGGGTCTGATGGGGGTTTAGAGGCTGAAAGGTGCAGATGGAGCCGTGTGGTGGCTTTTGGGGGGGACATGGGGGGTGTTTTGTGGGGTTCTTTTGCCTCCCCCTGTGTTTTCCCCCCCCTCCTGCCCCACAGATGTGGGTTGGAGGGCTCTGCACCCATCCCACAGTGGGGCTGTGCTGTATCCCCTTGCTGGTACACAGGATGCGGCTCCCCTTGTCACCAGCGGTGGGTCCAGGCAAGTCACTGGGGCCTCATCCTGCCCGATGCAGGAGGGTGATGCTGGATGCACAATGGGCTCCATTGGCCAGAGCATCCTGGACAGGCACCTTCCCAGAGCCTGGGGTAGGTGCTGGCACCCGAATCCCATCCCTGATGCCTGTGGTACCCAGGATGCTGTTGCTCCTTAGCACCCAATAGGTGCTGAGCTGTTGTCCCTTCCCTTGCCAGGCCCATTGGATGCACCCCTGAGGGGTGTGTGAGGGTCCTGGGGGGAGTCCCAGTTAAACCAGTCCCTCCTATGGGGGTTTTGGGTGGGTTTGGGCACAGCCTCCTCCAGGCAGGCCTGGGGTCCATGGACCATGTTGGGGGGTCCCCCCTGCTCTCCATAGACCCACTGGGGACCCTGGAATCACCCCTGTGTGGGGCTGCAGCACTGGGATTATAGGGGATGTCCCTATAAACACTTGGGATGGGGATGGTGCAGCTCAGCTGGCTTCCCCTTGATCCCCCCATCACCTCCATCGATGGGAGCACAAGGTCCTGATGGAGAACAGCAGCAGCACCGGAGAGGAGCCGTCCATGGGAGCAACGGGACCATTCCCACATGGCAGGTGGGACCCAACCCATTCCTTATGGGAGCAGAGGGAGGCGATGGGGCTGCGTTGCTGCTTGGTGCCCTCCCCGTTGTGCAACAGCAGGGGGAAGGTCAGATCCTGCAGGAGGGAGCCGGGGTTGACGTCAAGGGAAGCAGCTGGGGATGGGAGCAGGGCCATAACTCATCCTGGGAATGGCGTTTTCATCCTTGACTCTTATCACTGCTCTGCATTGCCCACTGCTCCCAGCCCCAGGGGCAGATAAACCGGCCTCGGAGGGGGGGGAGGTTCAGGGCTGCTCCCAGCCCCACAGCGTGCCCCATGTTCAGCTGTATAGGGCTGACAGAGGGGTTGCGTTGGTGTGGGGTCTTCCAGCACCGCTCGTGTCTATGCGATGTGCACGAAGCATCCCGGTGTTCCTGCATCCCGGGTACCACCATCCCAGCGGTGCTGGATGTCCTGTTCTGCTGCGTTTGGACCTATGGGTCAGGGTCTAATGTGATGGCACAGGAGTGGGGTCTGGTCCCTATGTGGGGGGGAGTCCTGGTGTGTTGGGAGCTGAGGATGGGCTGAGCCTGGCTCTGGTTGTTGCATCCCGGCGAGACGACAGTGCTCTCCATTACCTTAATTATTATCCATTGTGATCTGTTCTTATCCCTTCTCCGGATCTTTATCCATGGCTGCTCCATTCAGGAGCACGCCCCCAGCCCTGTGCAGCGATGCAGCTGCGCAAGGAGCCAGCTCCGACCTTGGCCCCGTGGGTCCTGCCGTAAGCGATGGCTCTTATCTCCCTGCTGACGAGCCAGCATCCTTCAAGCACCGTACTTAAGGCTCAGCCCCCGCGGGGCTGGGGCAGAGCAGCTCCCATCACCGAGAGGGAGAGAAGCAGGAACCGGGATACCCAAGGGCTGCATCCGCACGGGAAGATGCTGCCGGCGACGTTCAAGCTCTGCGCTGCCATCTCCTACCAGCACCTGCGGAACATGAGGGGTGAGGGTGCGAGGGAGGCCACGGGGATGGGCTCCCCGTCCCACGTTGGGGTCGGGTTGTGGTTGGTGCCTGTGATGGGGGATGAGGGGGGGGGATACGCTGGTGCTGATGTGGAGGGTGGCGATGGGATGCAAGGATTTAGTGTTCTGTTAACGCAACTCTACCTTGTCCCTTGGTACCCATGGAATTGCCCCTCGGTGTTCTCATGCTGGAATCTGCTCCCCGGGGAGGTCCTGTGCCTGTGGGGACAGGGCAGAAGCAGAGGCTTGTTCGAGGTGTTTGAAGTGGGGGTAAAAGCCGCTGCCCCAGTGCTGGGGCTGACGCTGCTCTGCCCCCCAGGTCTCAGAAGACAAGCGGCCCTCACCATCGGCCAGGAGCTGAGCAAGCTCGTGTGCCGCAGCCCCGGCCCCGGGCCCTGGATCAGCCACGTGCGCAGGAGGAGCTCCTTGCTCAGTGAGTGACCAGCGGCGGGGTCTGACCCTGTCCATCCCCTTTTCCATCCCCTTTTCCATCGCCCTCTTCCATCGCCCTTTTCCATCGCCCTTTTCCATCCCCCTTTTCCACCCCCTTTTCCACCCCCTTTTCCATCGCCCTTTTCCACCCCCTTTTCCATCGCCCTTTTCCACCCCCTTTTCCATCGCCCTTTTCCACCCCCTTTTCCGTCGCCCTTTTCCGTCGCCCTTTTCCGTCGCCCTTTTCCGTCGCCCTTTTCCGTCGCCCTTTTCCGTCGCCCTTTTCCGTCGCCCTTTTCCGTCGCCCTTTTCCGTCGCCCTTTTCCGTCGCCCTTTTCCGTCGCCCTTTTCCGTCGCCCTTTTCCGTCGCCCTTTTCCGTCGCCCTTTTCCATCCCCTTTTCCATCCCCTTTTCCATCCCCTTTTCCATCGCCCTTTTCCATCGCCCTTTTCCATCCCCTTTTCCATCCCCTTTTCCATCCCCTTTTCCATCCCCTTTTCCATCCCCTTTTCCATCACCCTTTTCCATCCTCCTTTTCCGCCCCCCCTTTTCCACCCCCCTTTTCCACCCCCCTTTTCCACCCCCCTTTTCCACCCCCCTTTTCCAGCCCCCCTTTTCCAGCCCCCCTTTTCCAGCCCCCCTTTTCCACCCCCCTTTTCCATCCCCTTTCCGCCCCCCTTTCCACCCATATGGTGACTGTCACCATCAGGGCTGTATGGAGTGCTTGCTCGTGGGCAGCCCGTGCCTGTGAAGCGCAGGCAAAGCAGGGGCCGAGTTCCCTTCCCCATGCCTGGAGCAGTGGATTTGATGCAGATGAAGCTCACCCGGTGGCGCAGGAGTGTTCTTACCCTGCTGCTGTGTGACCTGGTGCAGGCTCAAGGCTGGAGGAGAAGCCCTTCAGCGACGTGGAAATGTCCTACATCAAACAAGGGGAAGAAGCGCTCCAGAAATCCCTGAGCATCCTCGGGAACCAGGACGGCTGGAAGATGGAGACGGAGCTGGTAGGTCCCGTGCCCCACTGCAGCCTTCACCCGCTCCCCCCTGTCCATGTATGCAATGGGAATCCCCCATTCCCTTCTCCAGCAGAACGGAGACCGAGTGCTGAGCAAGGTGCTCCCGGACGTGGGGAAGGTGTTCCGCCTGGAGGTGGTGGTGGATCAGCCCCTGGATGCGGTGTACAGTGAGCTGGTGGACAACATGGAGCAGATGGGAGACTGGAACCCCAGCGTCAAGGAGGTCAAGGTGGGAATGGGCCCCCCTTTTCCTGCTCTCACTGCTTGTCCCTTGGCCCATTGCAAAGGATTTCTCCAGCCTTCCTTTGGGAATGGGGAGGGCAGGATTCATCCTACAGCAGGAGTGAGTCTGTATCAGCTCGAGTGCTCCTTGCTCTGCATGAAACGCACTTGGGCTTCACTGCAGGGTAGCGAAGGTGTTGGGTTAGAGGAGAAACAGCAGCACAGAGCCCCAGGGTGCAGGGAGCATCGCTCCAAACCCCTCTTTCCTATTGGAACAAGAGAAGCATCCAGAGAAACCCCTTCCCTTTGCGGTGCTTTGAGCGCTGCAGAGCTAACGCTGGACCCCTGAACTTCCCAGATCCTGCAGAGGATTGGCAAGGACACGGTCATCACCCATGAGAAGGCAGCTGCTCCCCCCGGGAACATCGTTGGACCCAGGGACTTTGTGAGCGTCCGGTGCTCCAAGAGACGCGGCTCCACTTGTGTCCTGGCTGGAATGGCCACGCAGTACGGAGCCGTGCCGGAGCAGGAGGGCTTTGTAAGGTAACTCCCACTTTAGGGTCACTTACATGGAATGGCAGAGCCACAAAGTGAGTTTGGAGCAGTTGGGTTTGTCTTAGGTGGGAGCTGTTGAAGAAATCCCAATCCATGGCATCAGCTGGGTTTAAAGGCACCTCAGGAGATGATGCAGTCCGACCTCGAGCAGGCTCCACAGGGAGCAGGCAGGCTTGGAATGGCTCTCTAGAGCCCTAAACCATGCTGAGGTTTAGTTTATGGCCATCGCTCCTCATCCTGGTGCTGAGACCAGTGGAAAGGGTCTGGTACCCACATCTCCCCAGGGATGCTTTCAGCCACTGCAAGGACATCATTGGAGGGGGGGACACCAGGAGGTGCACTGGGTGCAGCAGTGAGGCTGAGAGTGGTCCCCAAGGGCAGAACTCGGGGTGTGGGGGGACCAGGACAGGACACAGAAGCCCAGCACTGCTCTTTGAGGCTGAAAGCTGGTCCCTAACGTGCACCCCTGCCCCTCGCAGAGCAGAGAACGGCCCCACATGCATGCTGCTGCGCCCGCTGTCCGGCCGGCCCTCGCACACCAAGCTCACTTGGCTGCTCAGCATCGACCTCAAGGTGAGCTCCCCTTCCAAGGCCACGAGCAGGAGGTGGGGTTTAGGGGCAGGTTCCACTCACGGGCTCTGTCTCCTCTCCTCTCCTCTCCTCTCCAGGGTTGGCTGCCCAAGAGCATCATCAACCAGGTCCTGGCCCAGACCCAGGTGGACTTTGCCAACCACCTCCGGCGGCGCCTGGCGCGGACGGCGGCCCCACAGTGCTGACAGTGCTTCAGCCCGGGGCGGGGGGGATGAAGGAGGGGAGCTTGTATGGGCAGACAATGTAATCAGAGCCTGTGCTCATTAACCGAGGCCTTTAATAGTAGACACTGCTAATTAACCCCTGAATAAAGCCGCCTTTATTGAACTAAGGAGTTAGCAGGGGCCTGAGCATAAACTTCTGCTAAGTCAAGTCCTGCATTTGCTCCAATGCCCCCTGCAACCTCCCTAATGAATGGCTGTTAATAAATAAAGCTCCAATGATGGGTATTTACTATTAAAGGCCTTGGTGACTTAGTTGTTAGGGAGGTCCCATGCACCCGAGTGGGAAGGTAGAAGGATGAGCACAGGAACTTGCTTTAAACCCTCACCTTTCCCTCTCCTCCTTCCCCCAAACCCCAGCCCTAAGAGTTCTGTTCCCTCCTCCCCGAGTGAAGCAGCTCTAATTTATTGTTCCTGTACAGACACACACCACGTGTCCCGTTATTTATTCAGTTAAAGCTCTGTAATGACCATCGCTGGCACGAGGCCTTGGAACTTGGCAATGCAGTGAGGAGGAGGAGGAGATCTTCACCCTGAGAGACCTCCAGAGCGCGGCTGCTTTGAGTGGAAATCTCATTTTTAACAAGAAAAAAAACCAAAACTTTATTTTTAAACTAGTCTCCAGTTTGTGGGGAGGAAGGGGGGAAATATACACTGTGAGCTGAAGCCCAGATTTCAGCCCTGCGTGCAATGGTCTTGTCCCAACACAGTCCTCGTGGCTGGGAGCTGGTGTTCACTGCACAAAGCACCCAGCCCAGGAGATGTTACCTTCTTTAGCCACACTGGGAAGTTACTGAAGCCTCCAAGAGGTGCCCACAGCCAGCACCCTACCAACTACAACTGCCCTCACTGAGCCTCCAGCCCAGGGGCAGAGCAGGAATCCCTTGCGGGTACCAAAGATACACAATACCTGTGTTGTTTCCCCCTCCTCCTCCCCAGAGCTGTGTTGGCTTCAGCTCTGAGTGATGCATGAATAAAACCCACTTGCTGGAGCCCCACGGTGTGCTTGGTGTTAGCACTGTGCTGCCTGCTTGCCTTATGGCTCCCAGGGTGGGCTCCGTCTCCCATCCACTTCTGTCTCCACGTGATAGAGCACATCCGCCAGCGTGTGCTCCACAACGGCGCCCCAACCCATGTCACTCATCTGCAAAGGGAAGGAAAGACAGGCTCAGGATAAGGAGGGGGTTATCCCATCGTAGAGCAGCATTCCAGGGCTGTTTCCCTCCTCAAACGCTCGTGGTAGTGGTGGGGAAAGGTTCAAGTGTTTCCTCAACCAAGAGAAGCGGCTAACACAGGCATGAACAGGGGCTTTACGACCTGTCAAGAGGAACAAACCTTAACTAAATAGCCTAACAAATCACTCAGCACTTACCCATTTATAAATACAATCCTTTTGGCTCTCCTGGCTGAGGCCAAGGACTGAAGAGGACAGATACAGGCTTGGTATAAATCACCTCCCACCAGCACGATGCTCGCACCCACCTTGTGTTTAAAGAGGGTGAGGTGGTGACAAAGTGTGAGGGTATAAAGCTTCAGTCAGTACTTACTGGCCTGTAAGTGATGTCTCGGGGTGGATACTTGAAATATGGCCCAAAGTTTATAGAAACCTGAGGAAGACACATCTGGCATTAGATCAACAGGCAAAATGCTTTAGGCTTCAGTCCCCATCCCCTCCTCCTCCTGCAAGACCATGGAACAAGCTGCCCTGGCATGGAAAACTCAGCACTTGGATAAAGTCCCATCAGCAATGTTATCCCAGAGCTGCTCACTAAACTCATTCCCTGATTTCCTCTTTATGTGCTCGCCCTGCTCCCAGCGTGCCCACGCTCTGGGCATTACTAAAACCATGCTGGGAATCGCCTTGCAATGATCTGCTACTTACAGTGCAGCCTTTGTACAAAGAAATAGCAGGAAAATAGACTCCTTCAAAGATGTCTTTAAAGGCAACTCCTTGGCTGACACCATTCTTGAAGAAGATGATCTGAAAAGAAAGATGAAGAGGGGGATTTTTCCATCCATGCCAACTTCAGGAGCTACAAAGCAAGCTTCAAGAGGCAGCTTCACCTACGCCCTCCCCTTTACCTGAAGCCAATCACTTCAGTGCCAGCAGTAGCATCACAAGCAAAGGGTGCAGCTGGTTTGCTAAATTCCCTTTTATTGTTGCTCTAATAAAAGCATTCTTGGTTCTGATGAAGACCCAGTGCTCAGCCTCCCTTTGTGCTCATTAAATGCAAGCAATTAATACACACACTAAGCCCCTCTTAGCAAGTTCTCTGCTCTTCCTGAAGCTCTGCATCCTCCCCTACCAGCATTTAACTGACCTGGCTTCCAGGTGCTTGCTTCAGGCTCTTCTCTGCTTTGTCCACAAAGTCCTTCTCTTCAAAGTACAGGTAGCTTTTGAACTTGATGAGGGCCTGAAAGAGCAGAAAACATCCCCTTCAGAAGGGAATCAGAACAACTGCTACCTTTAGTGACACATTAAAGACCTACAGGAGCCCTGCTCTGGGCCAGGCATGCCTGTGGGGTCACAGGAGAGCGATTCACACATCCCAAGTATCTGAGAGCCAGGAGGGCAGCAGGAGATCAAACAAGAGGTGGGCAATCTCCCTCAGCAGCCCACATAAAGTCCCCCTTGACCCCTCTGCCATGAACCACAGGTTAACGTTTAATCCCATTGTGAATTCCACACCTCACCTTATCTTTGTAAGTGTCAGGCAGGGATTTGGCAGTCTCAGTATCTTCTGGAAGACTGATGTAAAATCCCAGTATATCCCCCTGCCCATAGCCAGATGAATAGTGTTTCCCTATGGACTGGTGAAACTTGGTTCCCTTCTTGCTGCGCCAGGAGTAACTGAACTTGTCATATCCCAGAGGTGCCTGGAGGTTCCCTGTGGAAGCCAACAGGAACATCACACCCTGTAGCAGGAGCACCGCTGTGGGTCCCAATTCAAGTTTTGGGGGCAGTAATTACATCCAGTTAACAAATACAGCTCCCCTTAGCACAGACACATCAACTACAGCACGCAAAGTGTACAGGATCCACCTGTACTGCAGCTCTGCACTGTTTAGATCACCCAGAAAGAGTTTCCCCTTAAGAAAAGCAGTGAATAAACAGCCAAGCTGATGCCTTACCCCCCTCAGGTCTACGTTACTGGGGAAAGACATACAGGAACTAGTTGGTGGAACTCTTTACCTAATGGCTGTGACCAGCCCAGTCGGGCAGCAGTGTCTGGAGGCATCTCATCCATGGATATTTCAAAGTACCAGGCTCCTTTCCTCACTCCATGCGAGGCTCGTACCATGGAATAACCCTTCTCCCCGATAACAGTCAGTCTGTCATCCGAGATCTTTAACTGAGGAGCTGTGGGAGGGAAGAGCTGATGTGTGAGCTCTGATGTGCAGAGGAAGGCAAAGGAAGAGCAGAAGTGGATTTAAGGTTTACACCTCAAAGCAATGACACCTCAAGCATCAATAAGCACTCAAGTGAGGTGATAGAAGATGCCCCCCACCACCACCACCAAGGCCCACTTATACAACCTGCAAGCCTTGTACCTCGGTCGTGCAGTGCTAGGAGCACCCGTTCGTAGAGGCAGGCTCTGTAGAGGTCCCCAGGAATTGGCTTCCCTGCCCAACAGTCCAGCTCCAGCTTTTCCGGGTCAGGAGCATGGGGGTCAGGCTCTGCCAGGATGTATCGATACCCATCCTTATTGAAGGGGTGCTCCAAGGGGTAACCGTGGGGTGGCAAGCGCTGGGCGGAAAACAGCGGATCACTGCGGAACACAAAGGCTCACGTTGGCATCTCATGGTGGCTCCAGTTCAGTCCCAGGACAAACCCAACCATTCCTGCAGCACTGCCAAGGCCATCACTAACCCACAGCATTGAGGGCCTGTTCCAGTGCCTGAGCACCCTTTCAGGGAATAAACTTCTCCTCATCTCCATCTAAACCTCCCCTGGTGCAGCTTGAGGCCCTTTCCTCTTGTCCTACCACTTGTTCCTTGGGAGAAGAGATCAACCCCACCTCACTCCATCCTCCTGTCAGGCAGTTGTAGAGAGCAATAAGGTCCCCCCCCGAGCCTTCTTTTCTCCAGACTGAATCCCCTCAGGTCCCTCAGCCATTCCTCATAGGGCGTATTCTCCATCATCAGCTTTGCTGCCCTTCTCTGGACCCAAAGCAGCATCTTAAGGCACCAAAAGCCAAGCTGTGCCTCTGACCAGCACTGAGGGGACCCTCAGTGTTGTGCCCCAGCACCATTTTCCCCTCTTACCTCCTGGTTTTCTTGGCCGTTCCTGTGGTCCCTCCATCCTGCTGCTTGCGCTTCGCTCCCCGGCCCTTCCCGCTGCCTCCCGCGGCGATTCCCCCTGGGCACCACCAAGCACAGCACAGTCAAGGGAGACGTGATGGGACAGAGCCCGTGAGCACAGAACCTCCACTGACACAAAGGGGCAGAAGCAGCCCAATTGCAAGCAGTTCACGAGCTCAAAAGCCTCCTACAGTGAGCCAAATCCAGCACTTCCATGGAGCTTCCAGTCCGCTCCTGAAGTGGCCCAATGCAAAGTGGAAGCTGAGTGAGATTTTATCAAGAGCTCAAGTTTTTAAGGTGAGAATCCAGAACCTTTTCTGTCTGGGATCCACTTCCCAAGCATTATTATTTGCTTTCATGGAGATCCCAGGCACAGTTCACATTGATTGCTGTGACGGCAGCAGAAACCCAACCTACAGCACACACTGCCTGATCAGGAAACAAAGCCATCACCCCCCTGCCACACTGTGCTGGAGAAACCCTCTGACACCAGAGTGCAATAAGCACTTAACATCCAAATTCCCATCTATAAAACAGAAAACACTTCAGCTGATTGAAAATGAAAAGCAGGAGGTGTTTCTCTTCAGTATGACCCAAGTCAGGGCTGTGCTTGATGCGGCTTCTCTTCTACTCCACTTGCATTTATGAGTAATGATTGATTGCTGTAATTCACACTGGTACATGTTCACATTTCACCAAACCACTGTCAGTTTAACGTATTAACAGGCTATATTGTAAATGCATTTTATCAGCACGCTGCAAAACAGACTGCTACTGATTCACACTGCACTGTAGAAAGACACCTTTACAAACCACACGCTGTGCTGGAGCTAAAAACACAGCCAGCTCTTAGCTTATCAGCACTCCCCTTGGGCTGGAAGGGATTCAAATCAATGAGGGAACAGCATATTCTGCACGACCGTGACATGATCTCAGCTGCACTGGCTGGTTTGACTGCAGACATTGAGGCTCTCCTGTTTGTCATCATGCCTTTGCCTCTCCCGGTACCATCCCAGCTCCTGGATGCACATCACTTGTTGTGGCATTAGGGTTTAAAACTACAGTAGCAGGTCAAATCATGCACAGGGAAAAGAGAGAAGTGAAAATGAAGCTTTCAAGCAGTCAAGTGGGGCAGAATATGAGCATTCAAAGCTTCTACCTGCTAAAAGACTACCAGGGGAAACTGTTGGGTTGTACTACAGGGTTACTGCAATCATATCAGGGCACGCTTGGGCTTTATGATTGACTTTAGCTTCTAAAAGAAGGGAGCAAAAAACGCTTTGCAAAGGATAATACTTAAGGTTTAGAAGCTGAAAGGTAAAATATTCACCTCCCATAGAGGCTCCACCTGCAAGAAGAGAAGCGGCACCACAGGTTTGTCAAGCTTCCAGGTATTAGACCAAAACCAACCCAAGACAAGGCAGCCTCAGATATCTATAACCCTGTTTTAGAAAGCCCAGACTACCTCCTGTGAGGCAACAAATGAATATAGATGAATATAGGCTGAATACAGAACACTGTAGCCTTGTGCACAAGGAAGTCTCAGCAGCAGTTAGCATCACTGCAGTAAGATGACCCCAGGTAAGATGCAAGCAGTGCTTAGAAGGAATAACATGTACCTTCCCCAACTACTTTCAGATCTGAGAGTGAGGGCATCTGAGTAACACAAGTAGGTGAATCAATATCCTTATGGAATAAAACTGACTGATTTAGCTGGCCACCAGGAAGGAAGAAGTTGAGCCTTCACAAGGAGGTAACATTAACCTACCCCTGTGGAAAGGCACAGTGAGAGTGGCTGAATGCTTTGAGTGCAATAAGCATAACCTCAGTTCACAGCACAGGTTTAACTGCAGCATCTCAAGTGACCCCCAGCTATAGGACTGGGCAAACACAGTTTAGGCCCAGGGATTCAAAAGCCTGACCGAAGAACTTGCCATTTAAGCTTCCACTTGTGGACACGGCGTTGTTCTGTTTCTGGTTATCATATGCAGGACCAATATTGGCAAGATCCTGAAAGAGAGAAAAGAAATCCAATGGGATTGGATTTGAGTGGTAAAACTCAATCTTACCACTCAAAACCCACCTGCAGGTGCTGGGGTATCCCAACACAGGCTCAGAATGTGACTTGGGTAGGCTTTACTCATTAGGTGACCAGCAAAAAGAGCCCCCACACCTTCCTCCCACCTCCCCACTGCACACTTTCCTTCCATCACCAACCACATACTTGGTCTAGAAGGCCAAACTTGGGGTAATCTTCTTCTGGGTCTTTACTCCCTGGGTCTGGATGCTCCTTCACCAAGAAGACATCTCTCTCTTTACACTATAAAAGAGGAGGAGTTTAAGTTACACAGAGAAGGCTCACACCAAGTTCATTAAGAGGTGTTTAAATCATGGTATTTATTAGTATGTGTGTTAATTATGGATGAAACATTAGAATCTTCACCCTTTAGCTCTGGTGGCAGCAAACACAGGCACTGCTCACCCAAAACCCTGCACAGATTTACTTACCATGGTCTTGACAATATTATTAGGCCAAGTCATCTTCCCAGGTCTCTGACGTGTCGTCATGCACTCCCAATACTTATCAATAAATGGGATAATATCCTGGAAAACAGACAAGCAAACAGACCCTTTAACAGTGGCTGTGAGCCTCTCCCAGTGTCGGAGCATCCCTGAAATCCCAGCTCAGGTCAAAGCTGTGCTGCTTTCCGGGACAAGCCTCACCTTATCTTTGGAGAACATGGTTTTTGGGTGCTCGTCCTGGGTCCTCGACTGCCATGTCAAGTTGGCCAGAGCACTAAGGCACATTTCCTTGAGATCTAAACCAAAAAAGCACAGCAGAGCTGGAATTGGGTTGGGAAAAGCAAACACCCACCTACAGACCATGGGGTCCTGGTCATTTTTGGGCAGCTTCAGCAGAGCTTTCCCCTGTGTTCAGCTCCAACAAAGCCTCCAGGCTTAGCTTGCACCGAATGCATGCTTACTTGCTTGTTTTCTTAAGAAATAGGTGTTCCCACTGTGATGGCAAACGTTGCAATGGAAGCTGTAGTTGGTCATGAAAGGCAGGCAGGAGCTGGAAAAGAGCAGGCTGTTGGTCAGCAATCAGATACTGGTAAGATATTCCTTATTCTTTACTATAGAGGGTTATAAACTCAATTATCCCAGGTTAATTCTTCTCTCACAGGTTGAAGGATGCTCTCATCAACGGAGGTTGCCCATGGGCATCAAGAAAAGCCACAAAGCTCTGGAAGGCCACTCAAGCTCAGTGGCCACTCGCTTTAGAGAAGCCCTGACATTCAGCCAGCAGAACAAGAGGCAACAAAGGCAGCTCTGCACAAGGAGCATCATCTGAGCCCTTAAAACTGCAGCTGGAAGCCCAGAGAACGTTTTAGGGGCAAAATACGCTCCCAAAAGTGATGTTTTTAGGAAGTCTCATATGGGTTAAGGAAAGAAAACTGAATTTACTGCTCGTTTATAGAGACTGGGGGGGTTTTTTGGTGACACCCATTGAGAACGGCTGTGAAAGCCCCCCTTGATTTTAGAGCATCATTCCCAGACCCCCCCCAGCCCTGAGCTCTGCAGGCCCAACTGCACAAACCCTCCCTGCAGCACTGTCAGGAAGCTGCTGTTTCCAACCCACAGCCGCTTCCCTGTGTCCTTGGAGCAGGGTCCTTGGGCCCCGAGAGCCCCAGCACCCGGCGCCAAGGCGAGCTTACGCACGTGGTGTCAATGCCAAAGGTGTCCGCCGTGAACCACTTGGTGCAGATCCCGCACTGCAGCTCGATCTCCCCCAGCTGCCGCCCGTTCTCTTCATCCACGGAGCCTGCTTGAGCATCCAGGACTTCCGAGCTGTCCCCTGCAGCCTCCTGCAAGCAGAGAGCAGCACAACGGGCGCCTGGCTTAAAGCCTACAGCAGCCTTTTTGGGGCAGGGAGCTGGCAGGACAGGACTGAGAGGGAATAATCTGGTTCCCCTCTACTTTGTATTGCTTTGGAGTGTCCATTAGAGGCAGTCGGGGAGGGGGAGGGTTTCCTTTCCAGCAGAAAACTGGAAGCGGGGCTGTCAGGATGGAAAATCCCTTTGGAATATGTTTGGATTTTGGTTTTCAGCAACTTCCTGCATCTTTATCTTTCCGCTGACTCCAATGATGGAAAACTGGTGCTGATGAGGCCCAATAGGATCCCAATGAGGATGCTAATGAGTTCCAATAGGATCCCAATGAGAATGCTGATGAGGCCCAACCGAATCCCAGTCAGGATGCTGATGAGTACCAATAGGATCCCAGTGACGATGCTGATGAGACCCAATAGGATCCCAAACAGGATGCTGATGAGTTCCAATAGGATCCCAAACAGGATGCTGATGAGGCCCAATAGGATCCCAGTGAGGCCCAACAGGATCCCAATAAGGATGCCGATGAGATCCAATAGGATCCCCAAAAGGATGCTGATGAGGCCCAATAGTATCCCAATGAGGCCCAACAGGACCCCAATAAGGATGCTGATGAGTATCAATAGGATCGCAATGAGGCCCAACAAGATCCCAATGAGGATGCTGATGAGGCCCAATAGGATCCAAATGAGTCCCAACAGGATCCCAATAGGATGCCAATGAGCCCGAACAGGATCCCAATAGGATGCCAATGAGTCCCAATAGGATGCCAATGAGTCCCAACAGGATCCCAATGAGCCCCAACAGGATCCCAATAGGATGCCAATGAGCCCCAACAGGATCCCAATAGGACACCAATGAGCCCCAACAGGATCCCAATGGGATCCCAATGAGCCCCAACAGGGTCCCAATGAGCCCCAACAGGGTCCCAATAGGATGCCAATGAGCCCCAACAGGATCCCAATAAGGATGCCAATGAGCCCCAACAGGATTCCAGTGAGGATGCTGATGAGACCCAATAGGATCCAAATGAGTCCCAACAGGATGCCAATGAGCCCCAACAGGGTCCCAATAGGATGCCAATGAGCCCCGACAGGATCCCAATGAGCCCCAACAGGATCCCAATAGGATGCCAATGAGTCCCAACAGGATCCCAATGAGCCCCAACAGGATCCCAATAGGATGCCAATGAGCCCCAACAGGATCCCAATAGGACACCAATGAGCCCCAACAGGATCCCAATGGGATCCCAATGAGCCCCAACAGGGTCCCAATGAGCCCCAACAGGGTCCCAATGAGCCCCAACAGGGTCCCAATAGGATGCCAATGAGCCCCAACAGGATCCCAATAAGGATGCCAATGAGCCCCAACAGGATCCCAGTGAGAATGCTGATGAGACCCAACAGGATCCAAATGAGTCCCAACAGGATGCCAATGAGCCCCAACAGGATCCCAATAGGATGCCAATGAGCCCCAACAGGATCCCAATAGGATGCCAATGAGCCCCAACAGGATCCCAATAGGATGCCAATGAGCCCCAACAGGATCCCAATGAGCCCCAACAGGGTCCCAATAGGATGCCAATGAGCCCCAACAGGATCCCAATGAGCCCCAACAGGATCCCAATAGGATGCCAATGAGCCCCGACAGGATCCCAGTGAGGATGCCGACGAGTCCCCCCCACCAGACATTAACACTGACACAGGAACGCTTTCCCAGCGGACACCTCCCTGCCCTCTCCGCACACCCGCTGTCCCCACACCTTCCCCACGACCCCTGCAGGCACCATCCCGCTCCCAACCACATCCTTTGGGATAACGCCCTGCTGCTAAAGGGGGACGGGGGGGGGCGGAAGCAGAAGAAGACCCGGACCCCCCCGAGCCGCTGCTCCCAAGCCCCCATCCCGCCCCTACCAGCGGGTCCTTCCCGTTGCCGGACTCGGTCTCCAGCGCCGCGGTGCCATCGGCCAGGGCGGCTTCCCCGCTGCGGGGGCACAGAGCGGGGTTAGCGGGGACGGGACACAAGGGGAGCACCGGAGCGGGGGGGGGAATCACGCACCCGGTGTCGGGGCCGGCGCTGCCCGGTTCCGGCGGGGCCGGGGGCTCCGTGGAGGGAGGCGCCGGCTCCGGGCCCGGCTCCGGGCCCTCGGCAGCGGCAACCGCGGGTACGGAGGTAGCAGCCGGGGCTGCCGCCATCTTGGCCAACTCTCGCGAGAAGAGGGAGTGTGGGGGGGTGTTCTCGCGAGATCTGACGCTTCAAAGGGCAATGGGACGGTGGGGCCCACAAAGGGAGGAGGAGCAGCGCCACCTGCCGGGAAGGGGACGGCGGGGGCGTGACGTCATGCTGCATGGGTGTGACGTCATCAAGGCACACACTGGGAGGGGGCTTGGTTTGAGGGGGTACCCAAATGAGATGGGGGGTCTCAATGGGATGGGATGGGCAATGGGGGCCCCGGTACCCAAATGAGATGGGGGGTCTCAATGGGATGGGATGGGCAATGGGGGCCTCGGTAGCCAAATGAGATGGGGGGGTCTCAATGGGATGGGATGGGCAATGGGGGTCCTGGTACCCAAATGAGATGGGGGTACCAATGGGATGGGATGGGCAATGGGAGCCCCAGTACCCAAAGGAGATGGGGGTGTCTCGATGGGATGGGATGGGCAATGGGGGTCCTGGTACCCAAATGAGATGGGGGTACCAATGGGATGGGATGGGCAATGGGAGCCCCAGTACCCAAAGGAGATGGGGGTGTCTCGATGGGATGGGATGGGCAATGGGGGCCTCGGTAGCCAAATGAGATGGGGGGGTCTCAATGGGATGGGATGGGCAATGGGGGCCCTGGTACCCAAATGAGATGGGGGTGTCTCGATGGGATGGGATGGGCAATGGGGGCCTCGGTAGCCAAATGAGATGGGGGGTACCAATGGGATGGGATGGGCAATGGGGGCCCCGGTAGCCAAATGAGATGGGGGGGTCTCAATGGGATGGGATGGGCAATGGGGGCCCCGGTAGCAAACTGAGATGGGGGAGTCTCAATGGGAGGGGATGGGCAATGAGGGCCTCTGATCCTGTTCTTACACCCAGGGTCCTGCCCCAGACAGCGCTGGGAGAGGGGGAGAGCAAGAGCTGGACAGAGCTCCTGCATGGACCGGGCTGGGGCAGGGCCTGGGATGATGCCCACAGGTACCCCCTTGTCCCAGTCCCCGCAGGGCAATGGAGTGGGTGCATCCCCCGGCAGGACAGGACTGGGAATGCTGAGCTGGTGAGGGGGACCGAGGAGGGATGGATGGGTGGGTGGATGGATGGATGGATGGATGGATGGATGGATGGATGGATGGATGGGTGGATGGATGGATGGATGGATGGATGGATGGGTGGATGAATGGGTGGATGGGTGGATGGATGGATGGATGGATGGAGAGAGGGATGGGGAGAGCAAGTGATGGGGATATGGAGGGATGAGGCTGGAGGCAGGCAGGGAAGGATGGAGAGAAAAAGGAAGGGAGAAAGGGAGGAACAGGAGAGATGGAAATGGGGAGGGACAGCTTGGGGGGGGGGTGGAGGGGAGGGGGGATGGAGATAGGGACAGAGGGACGGGGAGAGGAGGGGAGGGGGCCGGGGCGGCGCTCGGGGCCGCGGTACAAATAGAGCGGCTGCGGGTGGCCCCTGCAGCCATGCGGGTCCCGCTGCGCTCCGCACCCGCGCTGGTGCTCTGCGTCCTCGCCCTGCTCCGCCTCGGCTGCGCCCAAACCCGCGCAGCGCTCGGGGCACCCACCCGCGCACCCGCCCGCGCCCCGCCGCGCTGCCCCGCGCTGATGCTGCAGCTCCTCCGCTCACCTCCCGCCCCGCTCCGCGCCGCAGCCGCCGCTGCTCTCAGCCTCTCCCCGCACGGTGAGTGGGGCCGCGGCCCCGGACATCCCTATCCCGGCAACAGCTCCATCCCCGAGCATCCCCATCCCGGCACCGGCACTGTCCCGAGCATCCCCATCCCGGCACCGGCATCGTTCCGGGCATCCCTGTCCCGGGATCCGCACTGTCCCGAACATCCCTGTCCCGGGACCGGCACCATCCCGAGCATCCCCGTCCCAGGATCCGCACCGTCCCTGAGCATCCCTGTTCCCAGGACCTGCACGGTCCTCGGGATCCGCACCATCCCTGTGCGTCCCTGTCCTGGGACTGGTACCGTTCCTGGCCATCCCCGTCCCAGGATCCGCACTGTCCCGGCCACCCCTGTTCCCAGGACCTGCACGGTCCCCGGGATCTGCACCGTCCCTGAGCATCCCTGTTCCCAACACCAGCACCATCCCGAGCATCCTTATCCCCAGGACCGGCACTCAGGACCGGCACTGTCCCCGAGCATCCCTATTGCGGGTATCCCGGTCCATGCCCTCCCACGGTGCCGAAGCATCCCTGTCTCTCCCCGGCGCCGGTGCTCTCGGGTTGGATCCCGGGGTCCCCTCACCGTGCCTCTTGGCTTTGCAGGCTCGGTGCAGAGCGGCTCCCGCTGGGCGCTCTCCTTCGATATGTCCTCGCTGTCCAGCAGCCAGGAGGTGAATCTGGCCGAGCTCCGCATCCTCCTGCCCCGGCTCTCCCCAGCCCACAACGTGTCCCTGGACATCTACCACAGCCAACGGTGCCGGGGGGCCGGTTCCTGCCCACACCAGCTCCTCCTGGGCTCCGTGTCTGGCAGCCCCTCTTCCATCCAGGCCCCTTGGAAAGTGTTTGAGGTCACCACGCTGCTCCGCTCCTGGCTGCACCAAGACGCAGCCCCTGGGTACCACACGGGAACGGAGCAGTGGGATGCGGGTGCTCCAGACGCCTGGAGCGATGCCGGCCACGGGGATGTGATGGACAGAGCCCTGCTGCTCGTGTTCTCCAAGGATAAATCACCGGGAGACCACAGCCTCATCAGGACAGCGGAGACCTCCAAGCACGTCATGCGGGAGAGCAGCAACCAGGGCAGCGTCCCAGGGATGCGCCGGCATCGCCGCACCAAGAAGGAGAAGCAAAGGATCAAAGGGAGCGATGCTGGTGCTGCCGTCGCGGCTGAGGAGGGCAGGCCCCTGTGCAGGAGGGTGGATATGATGGTGGACTTCGAGCAGACGGGCTGGGGGAGCTGGATTGTGTACCCCAAGAAGTACAACGCGTACCGGTGCGAAGGGCAGTGCCCATCGCCCGTGGATGAGACCTTCAAGCCCACCAACCACGCGTACATACAGGTAAGAGGGGTTGCATCCTGCCCCCCCCAGACCTCAGCCCCATTGCAAGGGGCAGGGGGTGATGCTTTGCCTTTGCTGTGTCTCCCCACAGAGTTTGCTGCAGCTCTACAAGCCCAACCATGTGCCCTGCCCCGTGTGCTCCCCGGTCAGGATGAGTCCCCTCTCCATGCTCTACTATGAGAAGGGGGAAATCGTCGTCCGCCACCACGAGGACATGATCATCGAGGAGTGTGGCTGCAACTGAGGCTCATCCCCTCTGCAAGGGGCACGGCTCTGCCCTGGAAGCATCCCCAAGGACCCAACACACGGAGCGGGGTGCCTATGGAGCGGGTTGGGGAAGCTCTGGCTGTGCCAGAGGAGGAGCGGGGTGTGCGGATGGCCACGTGCATGGATGGAGCCAGGCTCCGCATGGGAAGGGCCGTCAGACACCTCCCTGCAGCACCAGGGTGCTGGGTGCCCGGTGCTGGGTTATCCATGTGCCAGGGCTGGTGCTGCTCCGCAGGCGCAGGGATGGACCCGTGGAGCAAGGCTCCTTCTGACACAACAGGAATCGCAGTGGTGGGACACTGCATACACCATCATACACCATCATACACCCATCATACACTGCATACACCATCATACACCATCATACACCATCATACACCATCACACACCATCATACACCATCACACACCATCATACACCCATCATACACTGCATACACCATCACACACCATCATACACCATCATACACCATCATACACCATCATACACCCATCATACACTGCATACACCATCACACACCATCATAGACCATCATACACTGACATACACCATCATACACCATCATACACCTATTATACACCATCATACACCGACATACACCCATCATACACTGACAAACACCATCATACACCATCACACACCATCTTACACCATCATACTCCAACATACACCCATCATACACCATCACATACCAACATACACCCATCATACACCATCACACACCATCACACACCATCACACACCCATAATACACCCATCATACACCATCACACACCATCATACACCCATCATACACCATCACACACCATCATACACCCATCATACACCATCACACACCATCACACACCATCACACACCATTATACACCCATCATACACCATCACACACCCATTATACACTCCCCTGGACCATACAGGGAGTGATGCTAAAGTTGGCCCCAGGGCTCCTGCATCCCTCTCCAGAGCATCATCCATTCACTGGGAGCCAGAGAGGGATTTGCACAGGCAATGAGGTGGGTCTGAGCCCCCCACCCCGGCTCACACAGCTGCTTTCCCCTCTCAGTGTGTGCAGAAGGGGCGGTACTGAGAGGGTTGGATGATCCATCAATAAATTATACCCATTGAAAATACCTGGTGGTAAATGATGCAAAGGGGCGTGAAAGATGCTCAACAGGAAGGTTCACGTGAGATAACAAAGATGCTCTCACCCTGATGGGGAGAGCAAGCACGGAAGCACCTGCAGGCACCGAAGAGGGGGGATAAAGGGGGTTTTCCACCTGTATTTATCCCTTGGGGATAAGCGGAAGGGGAATGTTCTCTAACAGCCATGCAGGCAGCTCTCCTTTGGGTGATGGGGCCGGCAGCTGGAGCAGGAGAGCTCCAGCCCCACAGGATGCTCATTGCCCCCTACATGCCAGCCCTGGGGGGCAGCAAGGGTCAGGTTCCCAAGCTCATCCCATTGCAGCCCTGGCTGTGGGTCTGGGCTCTCCCAGGCTCCCCCAGCCATAGATGGGGACATGGTAAATGCATGGGGGCCCAGTGCCATGGGGACCCAGTGCCATGGGGACCCAGTGCCATAGGGACACAGTGCCATGGGGATCCAGTGTCAGTGCTATAAGGACACTCTGTTAGGGACACCCAGTGCCATGGGGACCCAGTGCCATAGGGACACAGTGCCATGGGGATCCAGTGTCACGAGGACCCACTGCTATAAGGACACTCTGTTACGGGGTCCCAGTGTCATATGGACCCAGTGCCATGGGATCCCAGGGCCATAGGGACACAGTGCCACGGGGACTCACTGCTATAAGGACACTCTGCCATGGGGACCCAGTGCCATAGGGACATGGTGCCATAGGGATGCACTGCCATAGGGTCCCAGTGCCATGGGGACACACTGCCATGGGGACCCACTGCCATAGGGACACACTGCCATAGGGACACACTGCCATAGGGTCCCAGTGCCATGGGGACACACTGCCATAGGGATGCACTGCCATGGGGTCCCAGTGCCATGGGGACACACTGCCATGGGGACCCACTGCCATAGGGACACACTGCCATGGGGACACACTGCCATAGGGTCCCAGTGCCATAGGGACGCACTGCCATAGGGTCCCACTGCCATAGGGACACACTGCCATAGGGACACACTGCCATAGGGTCCCAGTGCCATGGGGACACACTGCCATAGGGATGCACTGCCATGGGGACACACTGCCATGGGGACGCACTGCCATAGGGACACACTGCCATGGGGACGCACTGCCATGGGGACACACTGCCATAGGGACGCACTGCCATGGGGACGCACTGCCATGGGGACACACTGCCATAGGGACGCACTGCCATGGGGACGCACTGCCATGGGGACGCACTGCCATGGGGACGCACTGCCATGGGGACACACTGCCATAGGGATGCACTGCCATGGGGACACACTGCCATGGGGACACACTGCCATAGGGACACACTGCCATGGGGTCCCAGTGCCATGGGGACACACTGCCATAGGGACACACTGCCATAGGGACGCACTGCCATGGGGACACACTGCCATAGGGACGCACTGCCATGGGGACACACTGCCATGGGGTCCCAGTGCCGTGAGGTCCCAGCGCCCTGCCTGCAGCCAGCACAGCGGAGGGCACGGTGGGAGCGCACGGGCAGGGGCAGGCCGGGGCCATCCCCATCCCTCCCCTCCTTGCCCCAGCAGCTCCACTCCACATCCCAAGCCCAGCCTGATTATCCCCAATCCACATCCCAGCCGGCGGATAAACAAAGCGCGTCTGGGCCCCGCAGCCCAGGCAGACCCGCCCCTGGCTCCCTACACATCCCGACAGCGTTCACACTGCCACCAGCCCCTCATTAGAGGGTCATTTGCAGGGGCTGTCAAGCCGTGTGTGGGGCTAACCCCTGGCAGGAGGCAGCTGCACCCAGAAACCCGGGAATGGGGGCTCCGGAGGGGAGTAAATCCGAGCGGTTTTGCCTTTTTCCTCTATGGATTTGCTACTGGAGGCTTCGCCCCCCCAGCCCTTTCGCCCTCCTCCAGCTCTATCTTTGCCATCTCTGCCCCTCCATCAAGCAGCGGGTTCAGAGGTTGTTGTAGGGCAGGGAGAGGCCCGTTCCCAGTGGGAAAATAAAGGCTGAGATTCCAGGGCTGTAAGGAAAACATCAAAGCGGGGATGCTGGTGATGATAAAGCTGTGCTTAAAGCAGGGCCAGCCCGGCTTGGGCTGGGAAGCATGGATCTAATCTCGGAGCAGGGTGATGCTGCGCAGCTCTGCTCCTGCCCCAATACACAAACAGGGACATGGAGCTGGCTCCCAGTGCCTCAAGGGGCTACGGGAAACCTGGAGATGGGCTGTGGACAAGGGATGCAGGGACAGGACAAGGGGAATGGCTTGAACCTGATAGAAGGGAGACTGGGATTCAGACAGGGATTGGAGCATCCTGCTCTAGTGGAAGGTGTCCCTGCCCATGGGGAGCTGGATGAGCTTTAAGCTCCCTTCCAACCCATTCCATTCCATGGCTCTGTTTCTGGCACTCCAAGCCTGGCTAAACCACACCACTCACACTAAGAGGCTGAGGAGCTGCCTTTGCCATGGGCTGAGCATGGGGATTGCCAGGAGGAGGGGATGCAGCCGTGTGTGTGGCTGCTGTGCACAGCTGGGATGCTCCAGGGAGGTCCGAGGGGACAAGTGTTGGCTTTATCCTGACATTTCCCATCCCTGCCCCTTTTTGTCTCGTGCAGGGCGCCCGCATCCTGCTCCGCATCCCGGGGTGAACAATACCTGACCCTGGGCCCCATTTGTACACACGGGCTTTTGATAAGCCCTTGGGTCTGCTTGGTCATGCTTGTTCCTTCTGTGTCCAGAGCAAACTGTGCCTATGCTCCACCCTGATCATGTGCTGCTGCTCCTCCAAGGCACAGGATACAGGCAAGGCTCCATCCTTCCCATGCCAGCACATAGGGATGCTGAAGCTAAACCACCTCCAGGAGGGCAATGAGATGCTCCCCTACTCGAGGGCTTTCAGCAGCAAAACCCCATGGAGAAACTGGTGGAAAACCCCATGGAGAAACTGGTACAAAACCCCATGGAGAAACTGGTACAAAACCCCATGGAGAAACTGGTGCAAAACCCCAGTGAGAAACTGGTACAAAACCCCATGGAGAAACTGGTGCAAAACCCCATGGAGAAACTGGTACAAACCCCATGGAGAAACTGGTGCAAAACCCCATGGAGAAACTGGTGCAAAACCCAGCAACAGACCCACCATAGAGAGATATGGGTCCAAACCCACCTGGGATGAAGGATAAGGAACGGGAGCAGGGGATGCTGAGACCCCACACCAAGAGAACTTCAAGGCACCGGCTTGGGGACAAATTGCACCCAGGTTCACACGTTCACAGCTTCCCTTTGCCCCCAGCACCGCAGCCCCAGGGCCCTGCTGGGCCCCCCTTGGTGCTTCTCAGGGTGCTCATCCTCCTTTGGAATTATCGGCTCTGAATTGCTGTCGGAGGCACCTGGTGCTTTGATGCTGCCCCAGATCTACATAAGCCACAGATACCGATGCAAAGGCACGGGTAAAATACTTCACACTTCCAGCACTTGTTATCCCGAGCGTTGGGTGGGAGGGAATGGGATTTGAAAGCATTACTGGCAATAGCTGACAAGCCAAACAAGCCAAGCAGATGCTTTGGTACCTGATACAAGGCTCCCAATCATGCCCTGGCCATTGCGGGTCAGAAACTCACAGCAAGGCTGAAACCGGCTTGTTCCACCCCAGGATGGGCAGCCCAGCAGGTACCAGCATCGTGTCCCCATCCCACCTTCACCATTGGGTAACACAGCAGGACTGAAACCAGCTTGTTCCACCCCAGGATGGGCAGCCCAGTGGGTACCAGCATTGTGTCCCCATCCCACCGTCACCATTGGGTACTAGAGCAGGACTGAAACCAGCTTGTTCCACCCCAGCATGGGCAGCCCAGTGGGTACCAGCATCGTGTCCCCATCCCACCATCACCATTGGGTAACACAGCAGGACTGAAACCAGCTTGTTCCACCCCAGGATGGGCAGCCCAGTGGGTACCAGCATCGTGTCCCCATCCCACCGTCACCATTGGGTACTAGAGCAGGACTGAAACCAGCTTGTTCCACCCCGGCATGGGCAGCCCAGTGGGTACCAGCATCGTGTCCCCATCCCACCATCACCATTGGGTAACACAGCAGGACTGAAACCAGCTTGTTCCACCCCAGGATGGGCAGCCCAGTGGGTACCAGCATCGTGTCCCCATCTCACCATCACCATTGGGTACTACAGCAGGACTGAAACCAGCTTGTTCCACCCCAGCATGGGCAGCCCAGAGGGTACCAGCATTGTGTCCCCATCTCACCATCACCATTGGGTACTACAGCAGGACTGAAACCAGCTTGTTCCACCCCAGCATGGGCAGCCCAGAGGGTACCAGCATTGTGTCCCCATCTCACCATCACCATTGGGTACTACAGCAGGACTGAAACCAGCTTGTTCCACCCCAGGATGGGCAGCCCAGCGGGTACCAGCATCGTGTCCCCATCCCACCGTCACCACTGGGTACTACAGCAGGACCTTGCCCAGTGGGTACCAGGTCTCAGAGCATCCCATCATAAGGACAAGCAGCAAACTGCACCTTAACTCTTTTCAGTGCTCTGAAAGTGGATAAAGTGGGTGTCACAGTTGGGGGAAGGTACTTCAGGAAGGGTAAAAGCCCATCCTTTCCCAATGAAACCCATTCACTAAGGATAACATCAGGACAACTCTTCCATGCTCGAGCGACCATCACATTTTGGTTAGGATAGAGCAAGAAAACGTAGC